GAGCCCATCCCGGCGACTCAGGTAGGAATCGGGTAAGGCTGCCCCCTGGTGCTAGTGGGTGCACAGACCTCCTCAGAGGCCTCAGTTGGGGGTTCCCAGCTCCTCACTCTTGACACGCCTCTCCCCGGGGGACCTCGCCTCAAGCCTCCCGGGCAAGAGCAAGGTTGTTCAGCTGCCTCTCCGCTAGCAGCTGAGCAGCCTGTTTGGAATTTTCAGGGCTCAGAGCAGTCATGGGGTGGGGAAGGAAGGGATCATTGTCCTGGTCAGGTATGTGAAGTGTGCCCCCCCAACCCTCCCCAAGTCCCAGGCTCACTGTGGTCCCCAGATGGTTCATCCCATTAAGCTAAACCCTCAGCCATCCGGTGGCTTTAAGAAGTAAAGCAGTTCCGGCTGGAGCCAGATTGAGCCTGCTAGGTGAGGGAGGGGCAGCATCTTCACCCCGGCTGGCTGGAGGAGCCTCAAGTGGCATGTGGGGGAGATGGGAGGGATTGAGGGGGGCTTGGAGACCCTCGAGCTGTTAGGGTCGCTCTACTCATCAGAAGACCCCAACTTGAGCCTTCTCTGGCCCAGGACTGACGCTGGCTTGGAGATAGAGAGGCAATAGGGAAGTAGGCGACCCATAGATGGCCCGGGGAGGCTGGCCCCATTGTGAGGGCTGCTTCAGTGGACCGGCCAGGACAGAGGCCAGACAGCGCAGGGAGAAGCAGGGGGAAGTGAGGCGGCGTCTGGGTGCAGGCGACTCAAGATCACGCTTGTCCAAGGAGCTTGTGGAGAGAGAAAGCCGTGGCTGGAGAAGGACGTGGGCCAGCCCACGCAGCCCATGGTGCTTTGGGGAAGTGGCCACAGCTTCCGGGAGGGCGAGGGCGCGGGGTGAAAAGAGCAAGGCGGGGCAGCCTGACAAGGACGGAGGGAGCCAAGGGTGGGGCCCTCCATCGCTCAGCTGGGAGGGGAGGCAGTTTCCAAGGCTGGTGGCTGGACCTTGAGGGTGTAGCCACCTGTGGCTGCCGCTGCCTCTGTGGGGTCAGAGGCTAAGAGGGAGGTGGCTGGGTCGGAGTGGCTGCTGACAATGGGCTTGTGTGAGCTCCGGGACTCCTGTGGCCGAGGCTCTCACTGCTTCAGGGACGGCTGCCTTCAAAGGGTGTCTCCATATAGTATTCATTTAAAACACAAGAAATAAAAAGTTATAGGAGTGAAATTAAATGACATTTTGCAACAATATGGACAACATTTTGTGGCTTGCGTGTGAAACTCATTGTTGGCATAGAATTTAACTTAGCGGTGGAGTATATGCCTTCTGTGTAATAGGTTACAAATTCCACTTGTAGAATTTCCACTGCCATTGTTGAGGGATGCTAGCACTAAATCAGTATTTTCAAATTTGCTAGATTTCATTTTATTCAGGTCAATTGAAGTGGCATGAACTATGAAAAAAAAAAGAAAAAAAGGGTATCTCCGGATGTTGATGAAGGGGGCTCCTCATCTGGACGGGGGGTGCAATGGGCTGCCCCCTCCCTCCCCTTCCCCCAGTCTTCCTCAAGCAGGCAATGTCACCACTCCTCTGGTCACCACTCCTCGAGGCCCATGCCCTGCACGCTTCTCCTAGCAAGCAGCACACCTCTGACCAGTCCCTCCCCACCCGCTCTTTGTCTTCACACTGCAGATCAAGCTCAATTCGTCTCCATGGCTGCAAGATTGGGCACTAGCTGGCCCACGGGCCCCCCAGTACTGAAAAGCAGCCGCCTCCCAAGCTGTCCTCTCTTCCCTTGG